GGAGGTAGGAGGTAGGGAGGGAGAGAGAGAGGAGAGAGAGAGAGAGAGAGAGAGAGAGAGAGAAGAGGGAGGGAAGAAGGGTGTAGGATAGCAAGGGTAAGGCTGCAAGGGGGAAGAGAGACTGTGACTGGAAGAGAGGGATGAAAGAGTTTGAGGGGTGAGAAAGCTAAGGAAGGGGGGGGCATAAAGGGAGGCCAAGAGAGAGGGCTGGAGGAAGAGGGTGAGAGAGAGAGGGAGTGAGAGGTGTGAGACGGTGCAAGTGAGAGAGAGGGAGGCATTAGGAGAAGGGGGGAGAATGGATAGAGGGTTGAGGGCAAAAGAGAGGGATGGAGGGGTGAGGTCGTCCCATGGAGAGAGAGAGAGAGAGGGAAAGAGAATGAGGGTGATAAGGAATTGAACTCAGGATGTAGTGTTCCAATCGTGGTCAACTAACCACTTAAGCCCAAACAAGAGTAAAGTGGGTATCAATAATCTTGAATAAGTAGAGTCATTATAGTAATTTTACTAACTGAGTAGCCCAAATTGTTTTTTCCTATTTTCTTTTGGTGAGTAGTTCAACAGTAGGAATCGAACTCAGGATGTAGTGTTCCAATCGTAACAACTAACCACTCAAGCCCAAATAAGATTCTTAAGTAGCCCAAGCTAAATAACATGAATGTCCTGCTTGTTCAAAATCACGTATAGCAATATTGCAATAGAGAGGGGTCTGAAATGAGAGGGTAAACACTCCCATTTATTGTAAAAAATTAGCGTTAGGTAAGTGTATAACATGTTCTCTTTTGAGAGGTGCAATGTAATTGCTGATCTAAGAGATTATCTAGCTATCATGGATCAGATGATAGGATTAAAATACCTTTATCCCCTAGTCAAATCCTAGCTTTTAATTTATCTTCATTGAACCTATATCAATGTAACGATTAGATTTATCCTTAAGAGAATTTGTGGAAGAGGAGAGAGAGAGCAAGAAAGACAGACAATTCCTTAAGTGGGGCATGCCCCTTCGAGAGAGAAGGAGAGAGTAGAGAGAGCTTAGAGAGAGAAGAGAAAAGATAAGAGGTGTAGAGATTTAGGAGAGAGGGGACCCCTATTTCTAGATTTTTTAATTCTTAGGGTTTGCCATCTTTAGTGATATCAAATCTATACCATTGATATAAGGAGGCTTGTGGGGTGAGAGATATGAGTAAAGCTCCCAATGGACAGGGCCGGGCCAGCTTTTGAGCCTATAATGAGCCTGTTTTTGTGCGGATTTTGGGCTCCGAACCAGGCCATGCTACAAAATAATCACAAGGATATGGGCACGGGCTGGGCCAGTAATGGACTGGCCCGAAAAAGCTTGTTTGCCCCAGACGGGCCTTGAAACCCACATCAGGTCATGGCCAGGCCTAGCCCATTTAGTAGTTTTTTTTTTTATTTCACTTCAAAAAAAATAATAATAAGGAATAAAAAAACTACTGTCTCTCCCTTTTAACCCAAATCTCTCTCTCTCAACTTTTTAACCCAAAACCTAACCCTCTCTTTCTAAACCCTAACCCAAATAAGAAAACCCTCGCTCTCTCTCCCTCTCGCCTCTACTGTGACTCTCAGAACCCTCTCTCTCCCCCTCCCTCTCTCTCTCTCGTGGGCATGGAGGAGAGAGAAAGTGTGTTCTTCTAAGAAGGGTAGAGAGACGATGAAGAGGGAAGTAAAGAGTTTGGGGTTTTGCAAGAGCATGAGCGAGGAGCAAGGAGAAGGCTTTTCATACTTAAAATGGCCCTAGAGTCAGAGGCTCACTCCAAAAATATAGAGACGATAAAAAACAAGGATTATTACACTAATAGGTATTGTGAGATGATTACATTAATGGGGTTTGCTCTGGATTTAGAGAGAAAGTGGAATCATTCTACGATTACTAGAAGGCAAAGATGGAAGTTTCTGAAGACAATGGTATTTATGATGCGTATTAGAAGGAAAAGTTGAAAGCCTCTGATGATAATGGTATTTATGTTGCCTTTGTTTACTTGGTTTTTTAATGTTTTGGTCCTTCTTTGTTTATTTTGTTTCTTCAATTCAATTTTTGTTTCATGTGGGATTTCTCACTCTACCCAATTCAATGCTTGTGGTGTTTTGATACTTCTACTTTTATTTTAATAATTATCTAATTTAATATTGAATGTCAGATTCTTTGGACAGTCTGAGGAGAAAGTGGAAAAATAAATTTATAGTTATAATTGGCCGGGCCAAACCCAATAAGCCTACATGGTCTTTTCTGGGCCAAGCCGACCTTCTATACGCATTTTCGGGCCTCATCGGGCCTTAGCGGACGAGCCCGAACCACACACGAAAAGTTCAGGCATGTTACGAATTGGGCCTTCCCGGGCTTCTTTCCGGGCCAAG